TATACATACATATACACACACACACACACACACACACGTATATATATATATACACACACACACACGTACATACACACATACATATTTACATACACACACATATATTGTATACAGTGAGACATAACCAAAACATAAAAAAAAAAAAAAGATTTGGGGTTTGCATACACCCTTAAAAAACTTACTCAACTTCAGCCCTACAAATCAGTGCATCACTTAAGCTCCAAATTCCTTACCTAACCGTAACTCCCTAAACCTTGATCCTAACTCTAACCCCAAGTCCATTCCTAACCTAATCCTTCACATTAAAATAAATACTATTTTGATGGGTCAAAATAACAAAAGAAACATCAGTGCAATCTCCAGCCACATCTTCTGTGTGGTGGTAGAACATGACTCTGGGAGGAAGATGTTATGGTGTTTAACACTGCTCATTGTATGTAAAAGACGAGAGATACATCAGGGTCACATGACCACGCCTTGTGTTATTTTACTCACCTTCCCAAAGCTTCCTTTGCCCAGAACTTTGAGGAAGTTAAAATCTGACACTTTCACGCGGTCTCTGTTGCCGTTACTGTCAATTTTGGCAACGGCATTCCCAGCTTTGTCTTCTGCTGCTTTGGAGCTGGGCCCAATTTTGGCTCTCTGCAAATGAGAAAAAAAAAAAACAATGCAATTAACAAAAGCTGATAAACAGGATGCACAGTAAAGCATCTGATTGGCTGCTGCAGGGAACGCAGACAGGGTCTCTTTAAAGCTGAACTCCAGGTAAATATAAAAAGACACAACTTATAAAACGTACAAATTACTGTACAGGACATGACATGGAGGCCGGTGGACATCTAGGGACCATTGCTCAGCAACAGAGTTGAGCAAAACACCATGAGCAGGGGGAAAATAAGTACCGTATTTGCCGGCGTATAAGATGAGTTTTTAGTCTTAAAAACATCCCCCGAAAATCGGGGGTTGTCTTATACGCCGGGTACACAATACAATGTGCGCTGGATGTGAGGTAATACTGTATGTACAGTAGCTTCGACTACATACAGTATACCGCGCTGAGCCAATCACAGCAGGCTTTGTATTCATTAATAGAATACATCGCTCGCCGTGATTGGCTCAGCGCGGTATACTGTATGTAGCCGAAGCTACCGTACATACAGTATTACCGCACATCAAGGGGGCTGACAGATTAGCCTCCCTGGCGGTCTGATTATTATTATTTTTTTAACTTTTTTAATTCCCGCCAGTTCCGCCCCCCTGCGACGCGGACGCTCGCAAGGGACGGAACCCAGAAGACACAGCGGGGATCGTGGACAAGGTAAGAGACTGTAATCCCGAGTGTGGCTCGGGGTTACCGCTTATGGTACTGAAAATTAACCCCGAGCCACACTCGGGAATACCGCCATGGAGGTTAGTGGGTGTATTTAAACATTATTTTGGGGTATACTCGTCTTATACGACGAGTATAGCCCAAAACCTATGTTTTAACAGAAAAATTAGGGGGTCGTCTTGTGTGTCCAGTCGCCTTATACGACGGCAAATACGTTTTTCCGTTTCCTCTTTACAGGTATGTGATGGCTTGACATTTTTACGTGTATGACAGGGTCTCTTTAGGAACATGTAATCTAACAGGGTTATTCATAAAAGGGTGAAGGGTTTAGAGAAGGCAGGAGAAGTGAACAATCTAGGACAACATAGCTGATTTGGAATAATTCTCCTATTGAGCTCACTTTCCAGTTCAGCTATTATATAGATTGTCCGCTTCTCCGGCCTTCTCCAAACTCTTCACTCTTTTATGAATAACCCTGTAAGTGTCCATAGCCTGGTCCCAGGTTCACTTTAAGTACCTGTGCTCTTGTCAAATGATATTTGGCATCGCCCCAAGTGAACAGCCATGCATAATGTATTCCCCATCTATAATCAACAGACAAGAGCACAGCTCTACTCAAGCTTTTGATCATGGTGCTGTATGCAAATAGGAGAAAACATGAAGATTCAGCAATTTTCCGTTTAGCTTTAAAGGGGAACTGTAGTCCTTTTAATTTTTTATCGATACTTGTAAAAAGGATTAAATGGATATGAATAATTTAAATGAGAGTTAATGTTTTAAAGGCTTTCTTCCTGTGTACAGTTTGTAATTAAATATGTACGGAAGGGCAGCCATATCTGCTCATTGCACATGCATATATCTCACCAGTGGAGTCCTCGAGAGATACAGGATTAGCAGCCTGTAATTCAACTCGCCAGCAAATATATACAGCTAACACACTCTCCTCTCTCTCCAACTCTCTCAGCTCGGCTTCCTTGAACTTCCTGTCCAGTACAAGATCACAAGGGACAGCGCTGACTCCAACAGCTCCTTGTCTAGGGGCAAGGGAATGACTTGCCTTGCTGTGCCTGTGTGTTTGTGGAGACAGGGCCAGTGCTCAGGGGACCAGCAGCATCCATTGTAAGTGATTTTTATCAGGATTTGAAATAGCTTAAAAACCTTTTGACTTTGATATCACTTTAATACAGGGGTGGGCAACTCTGGCCTTTCAGCTGTGCTATAACTACAAATACCAGCAAGTCTCTCGGAGTTATGCCTGTAACTGTCAGTTTTACAATGCCTCATGCCCAGAGGTGTAACTAGTGACCTCAGGGCCCCGATGCAACAATCCATGAAGGGCCGCCCCCCCCCCACAAGAAGAGA